CGGGGATGCTCAATGGAAAACAGCTGGGTCCCCGCAGCCTCTTCATTTAGCCAGGTAACATCCAGGCCAGCCATGTCCCCTTGTGACCTTTGTTGCATTTAAAATATTACAGATGATACAGATAGCTAGAGATACAGATAAGATATACGATCTCCAATCAGTTAACTTTCTCCCCCATGATTTTTTCTTCTCTCCCTCTGCTCTGCACCCCCCTGCACCCTCTGCCCATCTCCCCTCCTTTTAAAAAAAATTTATTTATTTATTTATTATTTATTTATTTATGGCATGCGGGATCTTTAGCTGTGACATGCGGCCTTCTTAGTTGTGTTATGCATGCGGGAAGGGATCTAGTTCCCGGACCCCCGCATTGGGAGGGCGGAGTCTTACCCACTGGACCACCAGGAAAGTCCCTCCTCTCCCCTTCTTGTTGTTACCTCACCTGTCCACTAGCTTGCACAGACCATCAGGGCACAGACCGGGCTGTTTTGTTCATCTTTGTATCTACGTAGGAGGCCCATTGGCTGAATGAACACATGGTAGAAGATGACAATAAGACCACAAAAGTCCTGTTTGGGACACGTGTTGGAGCACAGTACCTCTGACAAACGACCTCCCAGGGCTCTTTCCTGGTCTCTTGAGTGTCTACAGACTGGACTCTCGCCGTTGGTGTGGAAGGTGAAGGCTGGAGCAGGTGTGTGTGTGTGTGTGTGTGTGTGTGTGTGTGTGTGTGTGTGTGCGTGAAAGATGGGGTTTCTAGGAACACAGGCAAAGCACATCTTCCGGGTTCCCTGGCCACACCCTGAGAGGCGGGGCAAGCACAGCCCTGGGAGGGGCTCCCGCCCAGTGTTGGGCTGCTCACCTGTTCCCGGCTTCCCCGGGAGCCACACTGGGCAAAATTTCCTAAGGGAGACCAGCACTGCAGCAGTGCAACGGAAATCTGGCACAGTCTCAGATTATAGATACAAAGAACATGAGGCCAAAAGTAAATGTCCCTGCGTCCCACGTTCCCGTTGCTCATTCATCCGCCGATCTGCCAGCACCATGCTGTGCTGGAGGCCCTTGACTCCCCCGGAGGCAATGGCTGTGTCCCCGGGGGCACACATGGCCGCTGTCAGAGTCAAGGGATGTGGGTGCTTTATTTTTACCCTGAATGAGACGGACAGAGCCTGCCTCTCATTCAGTTAGTCATTTGTGGGGATTTTCCAAGCTGACTGATGTTACTTGAAACCGAAAAGGGGGAAAACTGAGAAGGGAATGGTTTTTCAAGCACAAAGGCTAGGAGTACATATCCTGCGATTGTGCACCCACCCCTCCCCCAATAAAGGATTTGGTTTTGTTGATTTATTCCAACAAGCAGATATTAATACTTACACACAAAACCTGCAGCCTTCTCAAGGGCCCAAGCATCTCTTCTCAAGAATGTCTGTGCCCTATCAACTATGCTGTGGGAAATGAACTCAGAGAGGGTGACATCGAAGCAGGGCAGGGACATCCTGAAAGCCCAAGCCTCCTGTTAGTTTTAGGGGCTCTGCCTCATAGGGGAGCAGCTCACCACTGCACCCTATCTGACCGAACTCCGTCCTCTTCCCCACGGGGCCCTAAAACCAAAGACCCCAAAGACATTGGCCTCTCTCACCTGGGGTGGGGTGGGAAAGGAGAAAACACAGTCGGGTTGTGACTTGCTGTTGTGGCAGTAACTTACGCTACCAGAGTGGGTAGCGGTAGCGGCAGCCTACATGCCACTCCCCTTCGTTTGGAGCCCTGGGCCTCTCCTCAACCCAATACTATGGCTCCTCAAGGTTTAGGATGCAGCCAATTGGATGGGGCAGCAACAGAACCCAAACCTGCAGGAGTGGCCCCGCCTCCACGTCAAAGTCCTGCTTAAGACCACACCCTCCAGGGCCACCAGCAGCACCGCACACTGGCTCCCACAGGTGCCCGCTCCAGGGAGACGGGCCTGGGAATTGCACAGCTGCACCCCAGCACCGAGAAGTGTGTGACTGCATCCTTCAAGACCCCAAACATCCCACCCCATGCATCTTGTTGATCATCTCTTTTGAAACATGCAAAAACATATGAAAGAAAAAATTTCCCATTGTCATGACCAAAATAGGAACTCAAACATGAGCCTGAAATTCTTCACTGGGACACCTTAGAATAAATACTTAACTCTCTGGCATCTTCAACCAACGCATGGTATAAGTCACAACCACAAACTTTCTGGAGGGGAATTTGGAAGGATGTTTCCGATGTCTTAACCTAGAAATTCTATTTCTAGTCATCTATTCAAGGCAAATCATCAGACGAATGCACCACATCTGCAAAAGTAACCAATTGGAAACAACCTAAACATCCTTAAATCAAGGATTAGTTTAAAAATGATAATACATCTATCCAGGGGAATGCTATGCAACCATTAAAAATGGTGTGTGGGGACCATAGTTAATAATCCTGTGTTGTATATTTGAAAGTCGCTAAGAAAGTAGATCTTAAAAGTTCTCATGACAAGAAAAAAAATGGTAACTATGTATATCGAGGGATGTTAACCAGACTTATTGTAATGATCATTTCACAATATATACAAATATTATATCATTACGTCATACTCCTGAAACTAGCATAATGCTATATGTCAATTATATTTCAACAAAAAAGGATGTAGTTCTATGTTACTGGCTTGTAATTATGTCCATGATATGTTATTATGCTGATATATTTGTATTTTATTGGGGAACAATTAGATATGTATTGCAAGATCAAATCCATGTAAATAGCCATATATACACCAAAATGCTAATAAATATTGTTTTTAAAATAATTTCATGTTTTTATGAATTTTTCCAATGACCAAATAATCAGGAAAAGAAGAAGCTGATTATATTTTGAAAACAAAAGACAACCAAATGCCTTTTTCCCTAGCTAGAAAAGAAAAATGTGTTTCTTTTTTCATAGGCAAATTTGCTCATGTCTGAGAGTTAGTTGTTTTTTTTAAAATCTTTTTAACTACTTTAACGTTCAAGCTTACTTTGGAGAAGATTTCATACGTATCCAAAAATAGAGAAAATAATACGCTGGGCCCCCATGAGCCTCATTCATGGCCATCTTGTTTCCTCCATTCTCCAAAGGGCTCCTCCTCTCCCTACACTGAATTATTTTGAGGCAAATCTCAGACATCTTAGTATTTCATCCATAAATGCTTCACTATATCACATCTAAAACACAAGGACTCTTTTGGAAACTTAACAATGCTACTGTTATCACACCAAAAAATTTAATGGTAATGTTACAGTATCATGAAACACTTAGTGATAATTTTCCTAGGGCATTTCTTACAACTGCATTACCCCTGGGTGATCTCCTCCATCCTTAATTAATTCATTTTTAAAGTGGAGAAAATATAGGATCATTGAGAGTAATAAATGAGAGAGTATATTAAAGAGGTTAGCATAGAGTCTGGCACATTGTAACTGTCCTAAACTAGTAGCAACGGGTGATTTGCGATGTTTTCCACTTTCTCATTCACTAGGCATTTGCACGAATTAGTCCTTATTTTGTGAATTTCCTGTTCATATCCTTTGGCCTTTTTTCTAGGGGGCATTAAGAATGGCAACCTTTATCTTTCATATGCTTGCTCACATTCTTTTTCAGGTTATTCTACACTTTTCTACTTTACTTGTGATTATGTAGTAAAATGTGTCCTTCCTTTCCTTTGGATCCAATCTAACATACATCTATATTTTTTCAGTGTTTTGTGGTTTCGTGTCTTTTTAATTTGGTTCATATAAACTTTGAGAATCACTCATCAAATGAGCCCTGAAATCTATACTTTCACTAAAAAAGCAAAAATATAATCACTCTCTGAATTCATGAGCTTATATATTTTTTGGTAGAATCAGGTTTTTCTTAAGGTGGAACTACTCTAAATATGTACTCAGTGATATAAGGTAATCTTGGGTTTACCATATTCACAGGAATACCAACTAGCCGTTTTGTCTAGGGCTTAAAGTGCTTTCCACATATCGCATTTAATACGTACCATCCTCTTATCAAGGAAGTATTATTCTCATCTGGATTCTAGGGATGGAACACTGGGCTAACGGAACAGAGAGATTAGCTACCTTGAGCCCAGGTTATCTGCCTCCCAAGCCCCTCGAACACCAGACTATGCCTCCTTCCTCACCTGCAAAGTGAGGAAGGTCCTTAGGGGGCCACCTCACAGAGCTGACGATGAGTCAATAAGTATAAAGCATGCAGAAGAGTGTCTGAAATGCTGTGAGCGCTCCATAAATGTTACCCTTCATCTTCGTCATCATTACTGTAGTAACAAAAATAATAAGTGCAAACGAATAGCGTATAAATAATATTAATTATTACAATATAATAATATTAAAAGCCAATGTTCACTGAGGTATTGCTAGGCACCAAGAAGCATTTTACTTGCTGGTTATCCTACAAGGTAGGTACTTTTATTATCCCCTTTTTACAGAGGAAGAAACTGAGGCACAGGGTTTGTGACTTGCCTGAGAAGCTAAGAAGTCACCAGTTTAGCAAATGCACTCAGTTAGTAGGTGGTGGAGCTGTGACTGGAATCCAGGCAGGCTGATGGCAGGGCTACCTTTCTGGAACCACCACCTTAGATCCCTGCCTTGTGGGCATATAATCAGGACCTCTTGTTCCCCGTCACAACTTGTGGACAGATGGCTACAGTCTCGGAAGCCCAAGGATTAGGAACACAGTGACAGATTTAGAAAATGGCACTCTCTCAACGTTTGCCACAGCCTAAGAAGAAGAAGGAGACTCTTGGCCTTAAGGTGGAGACGCCGACAGGCTGCACGCGAGCGCCAGCGAAGAAGAGGATGCGTCCTCGGCCCAGCGATGCAGCCCCTGGCCCAGGGGGTTCCGCGCCGAGGGATGGAGAGCAGCGTCTCGGCCACCAGCAGAGGGCGCAGTGGCGCCGTGGGAAGGACCCACGTGTCGTCTGATGTCTCCAAGTCGGGGGGTGAACCTCGCTTTCCCTGGGTCTCAAGAGAGGAAATGCTTTTCTCTTTCACAAGGTTCTTCACCCACGGGGCGACTTTCTTTTCCTCTCGATGTCATCCTGTTACACAGGCAGGAAGTTCTGTTCACTTGGCTGTTGGGAAGACTTCTCCTGCCCCGCGGTCACAAAACAACAAATAAAACGAATTGACCCAGAAGTTAGGCAATCAAAGAGGAGCCGAAATCGCTACTTGATAAAGCCTGTAGATTGAAGAAAGCGGACTATCATTCCTGCGTGGTGACCCGCAGGCTGGGAAGCTGGATCTGTGTTTGTCTAATTGCTTTGGAAACACGTAAGTGGGTCATTAAACAATCGAGGGACTGGGCTCCACATTTCGAAAAAATTGAGCAAAACTAAACAGAATAGAATAGAACCAATAATAGAACAGAAAAATTTTTCATTCTTTTGTGTGCGTGCGTGTGTTTACTGGGTTGCTATGTAAAACATATCTAATTCTGTAGTTCGCAGTTTAAAAAATGTAAAAGCTGCTGGTAGATGATGCAAGTCCTTCAGCCAAATCCTGGGAATCCAGGCTTTGCAGCCCTGGTCTGTCTTGCACGTGGCTTGGTCTGGGGAGCTGGCCATGTTTGATAGATATTTTGAAAAATCATCCAGCCCCTGCCCAAGCCTCGGTCCTTATTAATGTTTTTATTTTCCAGAAAGATGCTAAGGGGAGTGACGGCAGAAATGGTGGTGTTTGGGGGGAGGGCGAGTAAATCCCGCTGATACAGCACTAAAAACAGAGGGAAATGGGGGTCAGAGGGCCCGCGGGAACCACAGCACCATCACCATATGAATCTTCCATCCCCAGGGTTTTCCAGGTAACTTCAGGGACAACATGAAAAATCAATAAAACAGTAGGTCCCAGTGATGCAGATTAAGAAATAATACATCCACTGAGTAAGGGGGAACATTTTTTCTTTTGCACATTATCCTCACATTTTTCTATAACTGTAACCACACTTTGGGTTTTGCCAGTTTTTCAGTTGACACCAGCGCCAAGGTATAAATACTTAAATGGTGACCAGCTGGTTACTTAGATGTAATAGAAATAGGTTTTAATTTTCTCAATGGATAAAAAAGAACTTTGATCACTTTCATGAGTGCTCAACAAATACAACTATTATGTATATTTCAAAATTGAGAATGAAATTTTCTTCCTGGTCTGCTGACATTTGCAACAGTTATAGCTTATTATTTCACTGTGGACGCAGAGGGGAAGGGGCACAGGCACAGGCTTCCTGCCCACCGAGACCCCAGGCTCTCACCCCATCCAGCTCTCCTCTGTGGCTGAGCCCAGCTGGGTCTCCAGAATCCCACCCCCAGCCCCTCCTGCAGCAGGAAATTGGAAGCAGGCAGAGAAGATGAGACAGACCAAAACACAGCACGACCCATCCAGCGAAACACTCTAGTGCCGCCTGCTTCGGCCGGTGTGAGTGCACTCTTAACCCCCTTGGCCCCATTTTGGGCCTGAAATCCGAAAAGATGCACTTACGTGTCTTCTGAGGGGGGTGGGAGATCGGGGCTGGGCAGCCTCCTGATAAAGACAAGAAAACCTCCACCCTGTGGTCCAATCATCTGATGGTGTCTCCCGGTGGATTCCCTTTTCTCTTGCTCTCCCTTCTCCTTCGGTAAAAGCTTTTTGGTCCTTGCAGATAAGTGTCAGCTCTGCTCCTAAGAATGGTTAGGCCAGAGCATCAAGGGTGAGCAGTGGCCACTGTCATTAACAAGAGAGCCTCTGACAAAGACCGCTTCAAATGCAAACCCTTCCCCAGCAGTCAAGAGAGGCAGGAAAAACAAAACAGCTGCTTGTCATATTAAAGCAGCTTGCTTACACCCTGCCAAAGTAGAAAAGAGCTAATTTTTGTGTTTTGTCAGAGTTTGAGTCAATGGTTGACCCAAACCAACAGATTATCTAGGAAAAAATAGACACATTACTGAAACACCTACCTAAATGGATTGGTTTTGTGCCGGCAAACATGCAGATTATGGGTTCCGCACTTCCCTTTACCACTCACAGGCAGGCATTGTGTTGACTTTCTCGATTTTGTGGATTTGAGTTAAAAAATAGTAATACCAATAAAAGAGCCTTTGGGGAGAGGTGACTCAGGACAAGACCCAGGGCTACAAGGTCTGCTTTCCCCTTCCTCTCAGAGGAGGAAGAGGACGGGACAAGGGTTCAGTTTCACTACGACAACGTCAGCCTCCCTTAGAAGCTGCCTGGGTTCGGCAAGAGAGAAGGGATGGACGCACTCAGAGTTTCCCTCCTTGAAGGACCCCAGAAGAATTCCTGTTGAGATCTGTGGCTTCCAGCAGTTCAGGCCCAATGTCCTGCCGCTCTGAGAGCCCGGGTCACCACCTGACCCAGCCCGTCACTTATTCCAGATGTTGTGGCTTTGTCGTCTATAGAATAGTCTCTAAAAAGGAAACCAGGGAGGAATTATCCACTTTCTTAACTTTCCAGACACAGCCCTGGATAAATCAACCACACAAATGAGTGTTGAAGGAAAGTTTATAAACATGAAGCAGGATGGAGAGCTGAGGAAAGGTCAGCGGCCTAGGACACAGCAGGAAGCCTTGTGAGTCACTGTGAGGGGGGGCATGGGGGATGGCAGGAGGCACGAAGGGACAGGGGCTCCGCTGCCCACTCCCCACATTAGTCAGACAGTGCCTCGTGGAACCACAGAGCGTGCCAAGCACTTACACGCGTGTATCTGCATCTCAGTCTTTTGGGAAAAGACCAGCCCTTCCTGGACCCTTTAAATGATGTGACTCAGCCTTCACCCTGCCCTTTCTCGTGGGCAGACTCACGGTGTTTGAGGTGGGAGACCAAAGGAAGTGGGTTCTGTGGCCAGCTCAGTCATTACAGGAAGGTGAACCAAAAGGTAATGAGGGGCGCAGCACCTGTATTTCACCTTCACTCTGACCTATTCACCTCTCGCTGTAACCGAGCAGGACCCCATGGGGCCTTCCCAGGACAGACCTACCCCGCCATCATATCCTCCGCCGTAGCTCCTCTCTGAAGCACCCAGGTAACAGTGTCTGAGGCACATTTCCTCAGTTGTTGTTACAGATGTAAAAAACCTCCCCCTCTCCAACAAACGGAAGATGTGAACCGATGACCGTGAGCACATAGCCCCAGGCCTCCTGGAGCCTAAGGACTGATAATGTTTTGTTCTGTTTTGTTTTTAAATATTTATTTATTTGGACGTTCAGGGTCTTAGTTGCGGCATGTGGATCTAGTTCCCTGATCAGGGATCGAACCTGGCCCCCCTGCACTGGGAGCACGGAGTCTTAAGCACTGGACCACCGGGGAAGTCCCAAGACTGATAGTGTTAACCCCTGTGACACCACCCTGCTACCTTACGGTCAGCTAATCAGAGAATTGTGCACAGCTGATCACAGACCCTGCCACACCCCTCCCTCACCTGGCTTTTCAAAGTGCTTCGGGAGACTCAAGACGGAGGAGCTATATGTATACGTATAGCTGATTCACTTTGTTATACAGCAGAAACCAACACAACCTTGTAAAGCAATTATACTCCAATAAAGGTGTTAAAATAAAGAACACCAATCCCATCCATGAGGGCTCCTCCCTCAGGACCTAATCACCTCCCAAGGCCTCACCTCCTAAAGCATGACGTTGGGTGTTAGGATTCCAACATATGAATTTTGCGGACAGGAACGTTCTCACCACAGCAGCCACCTTTGAATGCTGTTGTTGTCAACCACAGAATAAGAGAGTTGGACTATATCTAAGCTCCAACAGTTTGGGTCTTTGAAAGTAATGATAAGAGTTTACAGCTCAATTTTAGTGTCAGAAATCTTTGTGACTTGCTAAGTCATAAACTGACCTGTGATGAGTGTGCTGGCTAACTGAAAGACGGCTTTTGTTCGCTTGTATTAGAAGTACATCCTCTTGGTGTGGTAACTGCATCTATCATGTGTGGCTCAGAATTCTGGCTGGCGTAGGCCAGCTGGGAAACTAAGTGAGTTATTACTTATTTTGGTCTGACAGGTAGAGTCTTTCAAAGCATGGGGCCCACCAGCAGGGTGATTCACGGGCAATCTCAGTGGCACCAGAGTTGGCCCCCACAGGGGACCCCAAAGTTGCTTCCAGTGCCAAGGTGCTCAGACTGCGGGGTCACAGGTATTTATTTGCATTTGAGGAGTGAGGGGCTCAGAGACACAGCAAATATTCCCTGAGGACAAGGGCCTTGCACAACTGGTCAGGCATGAAGAGTGAGGGCCATTACCTTTGCCAGCCCTACCCAAGCCCACACTGCCCTCCTGTATCCTGGCTACCCAGCCCCACCAGGGCCACACCACATGCCAAACCACCTGACATCTGAACTGTCGCTCTACAACCCTCCACGTCCCATCCCCAGGGGCTCAAACGCTAATGCTCCAGGCTCATCAGTGTTCAAGAGTGTTCAGCGCCAGTCAGTGAACGAGGGCTTCGGGAGAGGTAATGTCTTTCCCTAAAGAAGTAGCTCTGACCAAAATGAGCAAATAAACACAGTCCTTTCCACGAGTACCAACCGTAAGCCTCAAGCGAATGGCCCAAATGCAATGCATCCTAATTTAAGTGTGAGCCACCACATGACAACCAACTCTCCATCACGGGGTGATGAACCCCACGTTGGCCTCCCACTTGCTGTCCATGAGGTCGAAGGGCGTGTGCTTTAGCAGCTGGACGGGAGGAGAAGGTGGCCACCTTTTGGGTGGCATGTGATACCTCACTTTTTTCCAGAACTTGGTCTTTGCACACTGTGACTGCTCTGTGAAGTCCCCACTCCACTGGATGGCCCCATGCTTCTGTTTGATGTACTGAATGGACTCTGGCAAGGTTGTATAGTCCTTGACCTTCTCCAGTTCAATCAGAATGACCTTTATCCCATCCTGGATGAGAACATTGTAGACTGCGATTTGTTCTTCTGACATGTTCCTTAATAGGTCAAGGCTCAGCGCTTCGGGAACTATGATGATGATCAGTCTTCTGCACAGCTTAATATTTTCATCAGTGACATCGACCACAGCTGGAAATAAAGAAAGAAGATGCAGGACATCTCATGATGAAAAGAGCCACAGACCATGCACTACTCAGAACAAGGATCTTATCATGTCTAACTTTGTATCTCCAAACTCAGCTAAAGGTTTGGTATATATTAGAGGATAAATACTTTTTAAAAAGCAACAGACTTTTAAAGGATAGGACACATGTAGTTAGCTCAAATGTTGTACTAATCTTTATTTGTGTTTTCCTCTTTTGCTTCATAGCTATTTAAATGACCAGGGCTTAAAAGACTAACTTGAAACCACATAACATATCCTAATGATTTCTTGGGAAGGGGAGGGGAAAGTTCTTGAAATAGCCAACTACAGATAAAACTTGGTCTTTTTTCAAAACAAAGGCCAAGTTTTATATCCTCCTTATGCTTAGGATATAAGAATAGACTGTAACCACCCCAAGAGCACTTCCTTCTTCTCTTTGGTTTATTTTAATATTTCTAGTGCCTACAACATTACCTGGCACATAGCAGATGCTCAATAAATATTTGTTGAAGAAGTGAATGAATGAATAAATATTGATATGCTTATGAAATGAGAGCTCTTCTGCAGGTTTATAACAAGCACTGGATCACATTTTCATTTCCTCATGGAGGATGATTTCATAACTTGAAAAGATGTGATAAGCTATGGATAGGAGCAGCCTACAAATCCAAAGTTCTTAGAAACCTTTTAAAATGACCCAGAACAGGCCACTAGGTAGTAATCTTGGTTTCCTGGTGATATTTCAAATATCAGCTGTTTACTGTATCGCCGTCTAAGAAAGAGAAGGTATAGGATAAGAGGGATGTTTTCATCTGTTGAGTATCTGATATGTGCTAAGCTCCATACTGGTCCCTACTCAGGTTTTACCTCATTTAATTCTCTCAACTGAGTCAGGGAAGCATTCTCAACCCCATTTGACAGATGGGACAACTGAGGTTCAGTGATGTTAACTGCATTTCCCAAAGCTACTCTCCTATTAAAAGGGGGAAATAAATAACTTCTATTTTATTTAGGTAGGGCAGGGCTGGAGAGAGTTGAAGTTTATAAAACCAGCCTTAAACATGAGCTCTTTTACAAATTCAACTTGACAGAAAATACTCAGCGGTTAGTCTCAAGGGTGTGACAGCAAATGACCAGTTGTCCCTTTTTCGTCTCTTGGCCAAGGCTGTGTATGTCATCATCCAGCGGTTCATACAAATGGGTCAACCACATCCTTACCCAAAGTGAAAGTCACATGATTTCAACCAGGAATCCCCGTTATCCTGTTGTAGGGATGAGCCTAATGAGAGAAGAGAGCCTGGTCTTACCTCCTCAGCTCTGGGGCTGTGGGCAGGGGAGTGAAAGGCTCCCTGTGGTTCTGTGGGAAAGGCAAGCATAGCTCCTTCTGTTTGTAAAGTCAAAAAGAGAGAGGTTCCTTTCCTTTTGTTTTTTTGGCTGCATTGCAGCATGCGGGATATTAGTTCCCCGACCAGGGATCAAACCTGTGCCCTCTGCCGTGGAAGCACGTAGTCCTAACCACTGGACCAGCAGGGAATTTCAGTTCCTTTCTATTTTATTCATTTCTTATTTTTATACCTCATTTAAAACATACCTTGTCCAGGAAAGTCATCCCTGCCAAATATAAATAACTTGTATCCACACTGCCTCTCCAGCACCTCGGGGAGAATCTTCAGCACCAGAGTGTCCACATCATGGCTGTGGCTTTCTCTTTGAGGCTTGGGGTACAAGACGTATGCATCATACAGCTTCCCATCTGAAAAGGAAATGGGACAAGCTCGTGAAATTATTCCTACCAAATTATGTGCACAAAGTGAACATCTGAGTTGCTATCATGGTGTCTTTTTCCTTGGGTTCAATGACTTCCGGGTGCCTCGTTGGCTGACTCATTGCCAAGCACTGCATCTCATTCTTTCAACACTTTAAATTTTCACTCCAATCTCTTCTTTCAGGCATGGTTGTTTGAGGATAAGTTGAATGTAATTCATCTTTGTTTCTCTAGAGGTAAGGTGTCTTTTTCCCCTGGCTTCATTCAGAATTTTTTATTCTGTAGTTTGAAAATGATATGCCTAGGTGTAGTTTCATTTGTTTGTCTTTGGTATTTATCCTAATTGGAGTGCTCTGAGCTTCCTGGATCTGTGGTTTGGTATCTGACATGAATTTGGAGAAATTCTCAGTAATTAGTGTTTGAAATATTTCTGTTCCTCTCTTTCTTCTCCTACTGGTATTCCCATTACATGTATGTTACACTCTTTGTAGTTGTCTCACAGTCATTGGATATTTTGTTCTGTTTTTTTATTTTTTCCGGTCTTTGCTTTTCAGTTTTGGAGGTTTCTACTGAGGTATCCTCAAGCCCAGAGATTCTTTTCTTAGCAGTGTCTGGTCTAGTAATAAGCCCATCAGAAGCATTCTTCATTTTTGTTTGTTTTCTGCTAGCATTTCTTTTTGGTTATTTCTTACTATTCCCATCTGTTTACATTGCCCATCTGTTCTTGCATGCTGTCTACTTTATCCTTTAGAGTCCTAAGCATAGTAATCATAGTTGTTTTAAATTCACAGTATGATAATTCCAACATCCCCACCATATCTAGTTCTAATGCTTGCTCTGTCTCTTCAAATTGTGGGGGGGTTTTTTGTCCTCTAATAGGCCTTATAGTTTTTCTTGATAGCTGGATGTGATCTACCAGGTAAAAGGAATTGCTCTAAGTAGGTCTTTAGCAACATGTGGTGAGGAATGGAAAGAGGGGAAGTATTCTCTAGTCTTATGATTAGATCTCAGTCTTTTAGTGAGCCTATGCCTCTGGACTATGAAATTCACAAATGTTTCTCAGTGTTTTCTCCGCCCTTAGGTTGGGCAGGATGGCTAGAGTGGGCTGGAGTTTGTTATTTCCCTTTGCTCAGGCCAGTCAGGCCCCTGATAAAACCCCAGCAGGTTAGGCTCTCATTAACTAGTGTATCCCGAGGGCAGTCCTTGTTAAGAACAGAATGCTCTGGTGTCTTTTCCCCTCTCCCTCTCCCCTTTCCCCTCTCCCTGCTGGAAGCACATAAAGGAATTTTTCTCTGATATTTACCATCAGAGCTTGGTCAGGCTCCTGGAAGTAAAACTCACGAAAGTGTGAGGGCCCCTTTATGATTGGGTCCCTGAAGAGGGTTCCCAGACCCAATTGCAATATGTGTGTGTGGAGGTTTCCCCACACCAACAAGCAATTCTTGGATGCCAGCAGGGTGTCTAAGAATTCAACTCCATTCTGACACTTTCTACCCAGAGATAGAATCAGATTGCACAGGGAAAGGGCTCAGTCCCACAAGATCACATTCCACTTCAGACGCCCAGTTGTTACCTGTGCTTCTGACCAAGGCGCTCCAAACTGGAGGTTCCAACGACTCCCCCCGACCCACCCCAATGTAAGCAGCTCCTTGAAGGAAGCAGTTCTTTGCAGGAGGCCCTTTTGTCCTGTCGCTCTAGCAAAGCTATATTTTAACTTAACCTTTACGCCAGGTGCCTCCATGCTTAACTAACCTCTGGCCAAAGCACACCTTTCGACTCTTTTGATCACACAAGGTCTCGCCTAACCTGTTGATTCTTTTCTTAGAAGTAGAAATGAAGAATAAATAATTAACAGATGACTACATCTCTTCCCCAGCTTCCCCTTCAGTAATCTCACAAGCAGACTGTGTGCACAAGATAGCATCTAAAGAAAGATCATGAGGAGTCAACAAGCCTGCAAGCAGTGGGAGATGGTGAAGAATCTGACCCCCTTTCTCAGTGATTAACTGAGATTATTTCCCCTTTTCCCTTTAACACTTTCATGGCCACGCAGAATCTTTGGAGTTGGTTCTGGGACACCAGTCCTCCTTCTCCCCTGGTTGCCAGCCTCCTGAATAAAGCAACATTTCCTTTTCTACCCAACCCTTGTCTCTCGAGTATTGGCTTTCGAGCAAGTTTGGTAACACTAATTCAGGATACCAGGAGCGAGTCCAGGGTGTTACCTGTACTCCGGACCAATTGGCTATAAACCAGATTCCTACGACCCCCTCCTTGGGTTCGATTAATTTGCTAGAACAGACTCAGAGAAACATGTTACTTACTAGACCACTGACTTATTATATAAGGATTTTAAAGGGTATGAAATCAACAGCCAGATGAGGAGATGTACAGGGCAACGGATGGAGAAGGGGATAGAGCATCCACGCCCTCTCTGGGGGGCACCACTCTCCCCAAACTCTACCTGCTCACCAGCCCAGAAGTTCTCCAGAGCCTGTCCTTCCAGGTTTTATGGAGGCTTCATTACACAGGCTCGATTGATTAAATGAGGAGAAGGAAGCTTCACAAAGCTCATCCCTGATTCATCCTGTGCAGCTGTGTCAGATGGTAGTTTCCAAAAATAGCCCCAGCAGTATTTCCAGCCCCATATGTTCTCTCTGCACTTTGCCACACCCCACAGAGAGGCAGAATCTGTTTCGCCTTCCTTAGAATTGGGTAAGACTCTGCGGCTGCCTTGACAAGTGAACAAGGTAGAATTGATACTAGAAATTCAGGGTCTGAGTCATCAAAAAAATAATGGCTTCTACCTAGCTCTGCTGTTCTTGAAACACTAGCCCTTGGAAGCCGTCGCATGCTGTGAGGAAGCCCAGTGTAGTAGCCCCCATTGAGCGATTACTTGGAGAGGAGCCCAGGCCACCAGTCAACAGCCCAAATCAGCTGCTTGTCTTCCAGCTGAAGCCCCAGGCATCACGGGGCTGAGAAAGGCCACCTCCGCTTTGCCCGTCCGCACCCCTGACCCACAGAATCTATAAGCAAAATAAGTGGTGGTTTTATGCCGTAAAGTTTTGAGGTAATTTGATTCCCAGCCACAGTAACTGGGCCGGGATTGGGGAAATAACAATGAATAGCAACAAATAACAATGAGGGGGACCACTCCCCGCAACTGTCTACATCATCAAGAAAATTACAGAGACACAGACCTACTAGTGAGTTTCCTAAGGAAAGTGGGCCTTGCTCTCTCTGTGGAATGGTGGGGAAACAGGGCACCCAGGTTCTGGTGAAGTCCCTTTCATTTTCTAAGGAGATTCATCCCTACTTTTGATGTTAAAGCATCTGTGTACACCCTCATTGGCTGTTGGCAAAAATACAGTCATTTGTTTGCACAACTTAATGTTTATGAAAGTTGCCTAAAGATGATTTGATTCCCTACTTCTCTCAATACGATGTTAAATTTTAAACCTGATCAAACTGGTCCCGTGGAAAAATCAGATGGAATCAATTTGACCTTCAGGTAAGTGCGCTAACTGAATTGCATGAGTTTTTGGCATTTTTGCCCTAGCATGAAGACACTGGAGAAAAGGCACATTAAACAAGCTTTTACATTTACCATAGGAATTTTGTTGCAAGCAAAGTTCATTACATCACATGCTTTAAAAACAAGATCTCACTACAAAACAATTTTCCTGAGGAATTGGCCCAGAAAAAGCCATGTGCTCTCCTGAGCGAATGAAAAGTTTGTGTAAACAGTGCCATGAACCTTGTCATGGCTTTGCCTTCACTTTTAAAGCAAGAGCATCTTTAAAAACCATCCAAGGTGGGTCATTAACTGTCCCCTGCCCTGCTTATGTTATCATTCTACCCTTTGTTCACTGTACCTGTTTTGTTTTTGTTTTTAATTTATTTTATTTTTGGCTGCGTTGGGTCTTCGTTGCTGCGCGCAGGCTTTTCTCTAGTTGCGGCGAGCGGGGGGCTACTCTTTGCTGTGTTGCGCGGGCTTCTCATTGCGGTGGCTTCTCTTGTTGCCAAGCATGGGCTCTAGGCACATGGGCTTCAGTAGCTGTGGCTCACGGGCTCAGTTGCTATGCGGCATGTGGGATCTTCCTGGACCAGGGCTCGAACCCGTGTCCCCTGCATTGGCAGGAGGATTCCCAACCACTGAGCCACCAGGGAAGCCCTTGTTTTTGTTTTTAATCATCTGTTCTACAGGTGCATTCCCCACAAACCCATTTGGAATAAGGTGAGGCATAGACACATCTCTCACGTAGATTTGTAAACGAATCCTTAGATTCGTGTACACACATGCACACGTGGGATAAGAATTTTTAAACTCCCTCCTGTGAGTTAACAGACAATACACAGAGCTCCTGGACTTAGCCAGGCCTGTCCATGACTCAATAAAACTGTGAGTTATACACACCTCACTATTAATCACAGCTGCGGCTTGACGAATCTGGTTGGAATAAACAACTTATCACGAGAAGGACACATGTTCTCTCTCTCCCTCACTTGTATTTGTTGTCCATTACTCCACATGTTCTCAACTAACCAGAAAATATCCTCAAGGGACACAAAACTGGAAACAGCATCTGGGACTCATCTCAAGGTCTCATCACTAACTCACTGTTGAAGTCACACTCAAAGAGGACTCACAGTGCAGTTCTCAGAGCCTGAGCTGGAGGAAATTTAATCACCAAGCGTGCGTGTACTTTTCTGACTTAAAAGGAAGAAGACCGCTGGCTGACTGTAGGTTCCCATCTCCAAATCCTCAGCCCGCCAGTACCAAATCTGGGCAGCAGCCCAGTCTGAGCAGAGGGTGGGGCTCCCTGAGTCAATCAACTGTCCAGCTTCCCCTGCTCAGGGTGAGGCACAATTCCTTTTTTCTCTTCCTGCTACACTTGACCTCACTCGTGGCGGTTTCACCACACACTCGGCATTCACGCTCCGGGGATCCCGGTAGGTCAGGGAGGGAGTTCCGGGGACAACACTGAACCCACGCAGTCCCCTGTCAGTCAACAAACAAAGCATCTCTGTGTCAGAAAAGACAAGCAGCCGTGCTGCCCTGAGGTGTCTTCTCACACAGATGCAGGAGGACCACAGGCAGAGGTGGGCTTACGCAGAGTAGGCGCTACAGGGGCCAGGGCCCAGCTCAGCGCCCGCAACGCTGAAAGAGCTTCAGGCTGCATTGGACATGCAACGCCGATTTCCACAAGTGAATTGTGCCGTCAAAGAAACAAAAACAAAACCAGAGTCTGGTTCCTTCCAGGTTGCTCAAGGGCCGCCAATTCTGAATTCTGAAATTTAACTTAAACTCCAAGTTAGGATACTTACGGTTTATCAAACATGTGGACAGACACGTGGTTTTATATGCCAAGCAGGCACTCAGTATGACTACCACCCTTCTGTGTAATAGGGATTCCTAAAACGCGCTGGGACCCACCCCACCTCCTTGAGTTCCCAGCAACACTGCAAGTCTATGGACTTGAAAGGGACGCGTTTGTGTATCTCCGTGCAGGAAAGCCGCACGGACCTCTCTCAGCCATGTGTGACTTTTTTATCCAGTTACGACACGTTAAAGCAGACGCATTACTTTTGTGCGAGGCCTTGACTGATCACATCTATTCTGAGATACAAAGAAAATAGCACAGAGTTAAAAGCACAGTGATGGGGGGCTTCCCTGGTGGCGCAGTGGTGGAGAGTCCGCCTGCCGATGCAGGGGACGCAGGTTCGTGCCCCGGTCCGGGAAGATCCCACATGCCGCGGAGCGGCTGGGCCCGTGAGCCATGGCCGCTGAGCCTGTGCGTCCGGAGCCTGTGCTCCGTAACGGGAGAGGCCATAGCAGTGAGAGGCCCGCGTACCGCAAAAAAAAAAAAAAAAAAAAAAAGCAGCACAGTGATGGGAAATGCCGGATCCTCAGATTCGGGACCACACGGGCACTTCTCCGGTGACTAGTGCCGGCAGGACGCGGCTCCCCACGCCAAAGTGAACCCCCTGGCAGAGCAGCAGGGGCAGGTTGCCTGGACCTTCAGACATGGGAGCCCCCTGCACCCCAGGACCCTCAGTGCTTTCCTGAGCTTCAACTCTGCTATTCCTACAGGACTCTGTGAGGCAGGCTCTGATCATGGTCCCCTCCCCTCCTCTCCCCTCCCCTCCCCTCCCCTCCTCTTCCCTTCCTCCCTCCGTCCCTTCTTTCCACCTATACCTAAGAAAGAGAAGAGAATTAAATACCTAAATCACACAGGGAGTAAGTGGAGAACTCAAATTCAAACCCAGGTCTGTCTCTCTCCAAACCTGAAAGTTGGAGATAAATCTTTTTGGGCCCCCAGCGCAGGCCCAGAAGGAGCTGCAAACACAGGCAGCTTGCTCTCTGTGACATAAATTCTGCATGCACGTGTGCTGTGTTGAAGACGTACCGTGGACAGAGCTCACGCTGCTCCAAGAGAAATTTTTGTCTTCTGCCTACACCAGTGGGTGTGAGAACCTTCCTAAAACAGTTGCACTGGGAGCCAGAAGACGATCTGCCAGGTCACTCCTAGCTTGCAAGCCTTACGCGATTGTACAGTGCTGGTGGCTACGGGCAAATCCTTTCTCTAAAGTACGAGAAGCCCCAGGGAGATGCTCTCCTCTAAAGTTGCCGACAACACGAAAGGCAAGCTAGTAAAGATGGTCAAGTATATTTACAACCGTTATGCGGACGAGCAGATTCCAGGACGATGCACGTTTCAATGGCTACTCACCTTCTATGGGCCCTGCAGAATGCAAGGCACTTCGATACCAAAGTACAACGTCGATCTTAAAAACGTTGTAGATACACACTGCAGACACCGCCACGCTGGTCAAAACAAGAAGCCCTCCTATCAAGTAAGCGCGAAAATCTGGAACTACAAATGACAGCCAAAAAAAAAAACCCAATAAATAATAAAATAATAATACTACAAAGAGTCAATTATACACTTAACTTACACAAGTCCCATTACATACGCCAAATGGGTATTAGATGGCAGAGAGGGGAACACTTAATTATTCCTTTACAGTTAAGTAATAGGTATGGGGGGTAGAATAATTTGGCCTTGACCTTGAATTTGGGGAAGAAAATGTGCTCTTGGGAATCTGGAGAGGGAAATTCTGCAGACCCCCAGCTCCAGACGGTGGATGTGGCATGGCTCTGACCGCAGGAAGACTGCTCACCTATCAAAGCACACATGGCCAGGTCCTCCTTACTCCACACTAGACTCTCCGTAGGTGGAGCCTGAGAACCTTTACTGGGAAAGTTCCCCAGGTGGTTCTGTTCCATGTTCTTGATTATACTACTGTTATAACCGCCTTCCCAGTTACTCAAACTTGAGCAGCAGGACCCCTGTCATAAATAAAGAACCTTCAGTTGCCTCCCTTGGAAGCCATCTCCGTGGCTTCATAAGACTGGCCGAGAGCCAGACTCCCACCGCATCCCCTCTGGGCCAGCAGAGGCCAGGCTGGGCCCCTGTCTGCAAGACATGGTCTCAGGAAGGGCGTTTACACCCTGCTCTCTTTTGTGAGCACGTTGCCAAGCAATTAAAGCAAAAGCAGTGGGCAAGAGATGACCAAGGAGAAGAACCAGTTTCTCTGCGACTCCAAGTCCCCTCAAAGCATGCTCCTACCTATCTGAAAAGACGGACAGCACAGCTTTCTGCCTCACCACAGCCCAGAGCGCTGCTGTCAAAGAAGGAGGCTCTAGGAAGGAGAGAACTAGAAAAGAGGAAGTGGGAAAGGGGAAGAGAAATCCTCCCCATTCTTAGAATCCACCGCACATCCACGACTTCCTTCATTGGCCCCCTCCCTGGTCCTCCGGTCCCCACTGGAAAGTGCGTGTGTGTAGGAGGGTGGGCGGGAGGGGGGAGGGGAGCTTACTAAAGAGCTGATCACAACCTGCCCTAGGCCACACCACGTTGCAAACATTTTGCAAAGAAATCTCTATGCGTGCTTGTATGTCTTCAAATACATGGCATAATAAAGCACAATAACTAAAAACACACTCTGTGTCCCCAAATTAATCCATTGATTAAGTCCCAGCATAGCCAAGTGGATCTGCTCTGCACGCTGATGCCCATTTGGTCCTGACCGTGTGTTTGAACCTCTAGCTTCTATCTGTTGGATGGAATCACCTCCTCCCACTGCCCCCTCCCACTTCTATGCTTTTTACCAGCTCTTGGAGCAACGGTGCCACCTCTCCCCTCGGGAAGACCTGTGTCTGGGGACCTTTACTGTACACATCGGGGATCTTGGCATTACAAATGGTCATGATAAAAAGACCATGGCCACAATATTCATGAGATTCAAAACGCCTCTGGTAAGTAAACAGGAGTGTTGGCCTGAAATTCTTGGGTTGATCATTCGCTGCATTCAGGAGTGTCGACACCCTCTGCTCTGTAATTGAGCTAAAAGACAATGAAAATCCAAACAGGA